TGCGTGGGACGTTCGGCTCAGGTCAGAAACTGGGGGGAGTTGGCCGGGGGGCGGTGACCGCTGCTTGGGGACTGGCTCGGCATCGGTCGGTGGGTGGTGAGCAATTGCACTGTGCATCACTTGCTTTGTGTATTATTACTATTATCATATTATTATCATTATCATTTTATTTCAATTATTAAACTGTTTTTATCTCAACCCACAAGTTTTTCTCACGTGCTTTTCCAATTCTCTCCCCCATCCCATCGGGAGGGGGGGGAGTGAGCGAGCGGCTGCGGGGGGCTTAGCTGCCGACTGAGGTTAAACCACGACAAGCAGCCAGGCATCCCCTGCCTTTGCGCCTCTGCCCCGGCAGCATCCTTCCCTCCCAGCTTTCATCATCGTAATTCCCTTCATCCCCCCGGATACAAAAGCTGCCAGCCAGTCTCTACTGTCAAAACATCCATGTCTGTAAAATAACGGCTTTGGACACCCGGCTGCATGTTAGCTGTGAACAGCACTTGACCTGGCTTCTGCCCCCGCTTGCTTCCAGCTGACCTCCCTGGGTGCTCCGCATCGCACCCGAGCTGGCGAGAGCATCGGGATGCTCACGCCCTGTCCTCCCAGGGGACACCCCGTGAGAGCATCCCCATCTCCAACACGTCTGGGCCTCCAAAATCTCCCACCGCACAAAGGCTATGTTGTAAAATAAGGAGACACTTGATGGAGCTTGTTCTGTCCTGAAAAATTCCTTGCTTACCCAAATTTTGACCCATCAAAGAGTAAGAACCCCATCCCTGCCACTAAAACAACTTCTTACACCCTTCTGAGTGTATTTTCTGTGCCTGTTTGCTTCTTATCTGCTCCCTGCCTCCTTGTCCTTGAGAACAGCTCTTGTCAACTTGGATTAAATCTGAACATGGGATTTTTTTAAGACATCCCCTCCAGGTCAGACCTTCCTCAGCTTCCCAACATAGAAAGGGTTAATCACAGATGATAATCACAAATCTACGTGACAATACTTGTAACACCACCAAAGACCCCACCAGGCTGGCGGCAGGGATGGTTACGAAGAATGCCAAAACCAAAAGCCTCACAAAGCGGCATCCTCCATCACGCTTGAGCATTTGCTCCCTGCTGCTGAACAGGCCGTCTCCTGCGCAAACTGGAAACACAACCCCAGGATCGACTGTGACTCGAAACAGCGACAGCAACGTGCAAACCTGGGCTGCGGGAGTTAACCGGGAACCTGCCTCGCCCCCACCATCACCCGGGGGCTCGGTTCTGTGCACTCAGGTGGAGGGTCAGCACCTGCACCGAATACCCCCACGGGCAATTTTTTGGAGCAAATCCTGCCCCTGCGCTTTGTGGAAAATAATAATAAAATACCTATGCAAAATAAAAGGGAGGTGAATCCCTTTGGGAAATGTAGCTCTAGCTGTAGATATTCGCTCCCCTGCACGACTCTCGCCCCAGACGGCAGCAACGTCCGCCGCCCACCAGCACGGCAGACAGAAAGGCTGCATTCGCGATGAAAAACATTACTTGTAAGTTAAGCCTTGGTTTACAGATCAATTAAAACCAAACTGCACGGCTTCCTATGCCCCTGCTGAGCCCAGCGCGGTCTGAACTGCACCTGCGCTCTCCTGGCGATGGGGCGATGAAAGAGAGAAACCTGGCTGATGGCTCTGTGCAGCTTCCTGCAAAAAATGCTGAGTCTGCAGTGTAGCCAGAGCATATATACATTTCTTTATTAGCAGTGGTGTCGGTGGGTGCTGTATTGTGAGGCATAAGCAGGGTTTAACAACTGTCACCAGGGTTTAGCGTTCATTTGAGGCCACGGCAATGTGTTGTGCAGCAGTGGGCTGCGAATGCAACGTCCTTCAAACAACCTTAACTTTAAAGTGACCTACATATCGGCTCTGGTTCCCCGCGCTTGCAGGGATAATGGCTGAAAAGGTCACCCAACTTACGTAAGTGCTGGGAAACGCAGTGTTGTTACAAAAGCTGCAGCTCAGAGGTAGAAAACAAAGTGACCTGAGAACACGGGAGCGAGCCCGGGGATGAATCCTGCAATGCTCTCCAGAGAGAAAACCTGGATTTAATGATCATCCTCAAGTCAGATTCTGCTGATGATTACCCCGCAGTGTGAGTGTGCGGGGGGGGACACGTATCCAAGTCAGAAAACATTAGGATGATTTTATTTTTTGTTGCTGAAGGTTTTCCTGAGGTCTTGGGGGTTTCAGCTGAAAGCTCAAAAAAACTTTAAACAAAGCAAAATTTTGACACCAGAAGTCTTCATTTGTGGAAAGAGAATTTTCCCCTTAATAAAAAATAATACTTGGATAAAAGGATTCCCAACCAGCGCCTGGATAACAGCGCGCAGGCAATGCTCCGCACAGACACGGGCACGGGCTCGCATTTCTGCAATACTCCCCGACTTGCTGATACGGCTGGAGCTTCTCCAGATCCCTCCTAGCAAAAACAAGAGCCGAATCTGGCACAGCCTCTTTACACACAATAGTAATTAGTGAAAAGTTGTAACTTGTCAACAAATACCAGCTTCCCCAGCTGCTGAAGGAGGAAGATAACAGTGATGACTACAGATCTGCTGCGAAGCAATCGCATCAAATGGCAATCAATATACACATGCACGTCCTAAAGGAGGAGATGCTGCCTCCCCTCGGGCTGTGGGATGGTTTTTCCAATCTAAGTTTTTGTTTTACAGAAGCAGAAGGGTTCCGGGCTCTGTTGCACCCCGAGCCCAGCCCAGCCCCACCGCCGCTCTCGCCCTCCCATACCTGCATCGCCTCCAGAGCCTCCTTCAGCTGTTGCTTCTCTGGTCGCTCTGATGAATGGCTGAGCAGCTCCTGAAAATAAATAAAAATAAAATAAAATAAAATAAAATAAAATAAAATAAAATAAAATAAAATAAAATAAGATAAAGAGTTTGGGTGTGCTAGGAAAGCTGCCCGCACCCTGCCTGCACCGGGCAGGCTATGACCCGCGGGCAACGGCTGCCTGCTGCCAGGGTGGCGGCAGGGATGCCAGGGCAGGCGGCTGTGGCCGTAGGACGGGAACACACCAAGCGGCTGGTGCTTGAGAGATCTGTTACATGGAGTTGACAGGAGGAATTTCACACGTAATCAGATTATATGCAAGCTTATTTTATATTCATTAACTGCCTCTTGTGGCTAACAAGTGCAGAATTACCCTAGGTCACCGTACTTTAAGAGACGGCACAAATATTATGTCGTGTTAAGTAGCTCTAGTAATTATTTCATTTGAAGGGGGAAAAAAAACCCCTTCAACTCTACATTTGGCAATGATTCACTCTCCACTGTAAAAGCCGAAAGATGCTACAGTGAGGATGGCAGCTGGAGAGAAGCGCCAATGCTGAAACACTTACTTTTAACAGGAGATGATATTTCAAAACTCTTTGCATTGGAACCACTAGCAGGTCTTGCAATTTGAATTTCCCATCCTGAACCTTTAGTGTGCATTCCTATTAAAGAAATCAATACATCAGTGGTGAAGCAGCTGAGGCAAAACAACACCTCCCCCACAGAAGTCGTCTCCAACGTGCCCCGGCTGTTACGTTTTGCTTCTGTAAACTCAGGTCGGATGAGAAACGGCTCGTGGTCCCTGCAAGCACCCAGCCAGTGCCAGGGCCCCCACTGCAGAGGTTATCGAGGAATAAAACACAGGGTCTGGACCCTAAAATACAGACATTCTCATGCAACTACTCCAGCTTAATGAGATACTGCTCATTAGGAGAGCACACAAATGCTCTCAGACCTCGGGAAATGTCAAATGAAATGCATTAGCTTAACTCACCTCCTCGATGGTTTGAACTAATGCGTTTTATTTGCGAGGGGCTGGAAGCAAGCACGCAGACAGTTGCTGTGGTTTCGCTGATAAGCATTAAGTCATTAAGATGAGCTAACGTGATCGCAGGAAGTTTTGCGACTGTTACCTTCGCCCAGACCCATTTAGGTATGTGACTCTGCGGGGCTGGCTCTGACCCCCTGCGTGCACCCCCGGGAAGATGAGCAGAGCTGCCACGGGGGAGGGAGAGAAAGAAAAAGCACGGGGGCAACTGGATGTTACAGCAACTGGCTTGATGCAAGATCTGGGGAACACGTTTTAAAAAATTATTAAATGCAGTTTTATCCCTGAATCGGGTTGCTGCTTTTTCACGGAAAATCAAAGAGCGTTTGCGAAAAACGAGGTAACATGTACAGACAGCCCAGCAAATTCAGATTAGCATCAAGACCAAAGCAGGAATTAAAGCTGGGTAAAACAGCAGCTCCAACAATGCATCCCTTCTGGGGCTCCTTTGATTTACTTAATATCTGGATCAGCCCCTATTTACACTAAGCCTTTACACTGGGGAAGGAGGACAGGGGCGTAATCCGGGCATTCATCTGGGAACTTGGGTTCACCTCTTGACTGTCCCTAATGCTGTGTGTGACCTTGGAAAGCCACTGGGCTCCTGGCTCGAGGATGCTCGGTGCCTTTGGGTCTCCCCGCACGACTCAAAGAGGAATTTGTCCACAAACAGTCCCAACTCAAATAAAGTCACCCGGCTTGTTTTAACTTGGATAAACTTGGGGGAGGAAGGACAGAGAGCGTGTCTGGCGGGGAGACGAAGGGGCAAGCAGGGGATCAGGACAAGCTAACCCCCAGCTTTGCTCCCTCTCTGGGCAGCACAGACTCACCCCCATATCCCTCCCCTCTCTTGCTAACTGAAGCATTCCCAACACGCCCTCAGCTCCAGCAAGTCCTTCCAAAACCCGCGACAAGGGGGGTGGGCAGCACTCGGCCCCGATGCCCCCTGCCCTCTCACCTCCACCTTCTGCCTGACATCCTCCCTGTTGGCGAGGAGGTGGTTGAGCGTGTTCTGGGCATACTCCATGTGGCTGCAGTACTTGCCGTAAATCAGCAGCCTGTAGAGGGGGAAATCACAGATTTAATCGGAAACACTTGCTGGCAGTTATAACCTGTTATAAAAGATATATATATATACTTATATACAGTCAAAGGACAAGGCAAACAGCTATTCCCCCATATAACTGCTCAGTAAAGTATTAACACTCTTTTATGGCACGGCTTTTTAACATTTAAATCTTTTGAAGTTTCCAGAGCTGGAGCCCGTTTTCAGAGGTACGATGGCTCATTCCTCCACTCCCAAGCGTGATATATTTAACCACCGCTCCCCCAAGAGCTGGGCTTTCGGAGCACCACAATAATAAAGGGAAACCCAGCTCCACGCTGAAAGACCCTTCCTAGAGCAGGTTACAAAGTGGCTCTACAAGAGTTAGGCGCATCCCAAGTACGACAGCCCAAGTATGAAAAGAAACAGCGAAGAGCTGGGACCCCATCCCTGCCCAAGCTGCCGGTCACCGCCGGCGCTCGCCTCTCCCGGGGAACGGCTCCAACCCCAGCGAGGGTCTGCGGATTAGCTAAAACACGAGGAGGGGGCGAGCGCTGAACCCCTGCAATCCAACACCGCGGCTCCTCCGCTGCAAGTCGGCTTTTTCTCACGACTACACCATCGCCATAATCCCCTTGATGTCTCGATAGGCGCCGTGCCGCCCTGATGGCCACGCGCCAGTTTTCCGGCTGTGCCATATTAGCACCAGGGCTCGTGAAGGCAGAGCAGGGATGCGCTTCAAGACCAAACGACAACAAAAATCCGTTTCCTGAGAGCGTTTCCGAATACAGCTCGCTCAAGCCCATGTATTCATCTCCCCAAAAGCCTTCATTTCCCAAGTCACAGCTGCTCACAGCCCAAAAAACAATTTTGGCTGATGTGTGCTCCTCTCTGAGGGTTGCCGGATATTTCACCAAGTAAGGAAGAAGGCAAGAAACTCTTGATTCTTGAGACATGCCTAGAATAGACATGAGCAATGATAATTTGCACTTCATCAGAGAATGAGAGGCTTCGAATCCCCTTAAAACCCAAGGACACATTTTAGAAAGCTCGTTGCTCCTTGCAGGATGTGCCACAGGGACCTAGAGATCAAGAGACCAAGTAATTTGGGAAAAGAAGGTTGTCACAGCCTTTGGAAACACAGTGAAGCTCTGCATGGACACCCCGGGCTACAGATTTAAACACCTGACACAAACAGAGCAGTTTTTCTGTGGATTCCCCCTTTTTCTTTCACTTCACTCATTAATCCCGCACGACAGGTTTGGGTTTTCCCCCCCTTCCTTGCCGTTAACTGCATTGCTGCTGATAAGACACATATTCCATCGCACGCTGCAACTCATCCATTATTTCGGGGCCTCATCTCTCGATGGAGATGATCTGGGAGCACCTGACCCGCTGTCGCTCCATAAATGTGGGACTCTCAGACCCCAGCGGGGAACTGAATAGAGAGATTTATGGGAGCCGCAGTCCCCGGCAAAGCAGCAGCCAATACAGATTATTATTCTGCCTTTTCCCCTTGACAACTTCTGAACATGCACAATAATATCTACCTTGCCAGCACTTGGAGAGTTTCAAAGAGGCTTCAGGAGCATAAATTCAAACCTCTGGCTTTCAGAGAAAGAGATTTACAAACTACTTCCTTCACAAAAAAAAAAAACCCCACACCTGCAAAGTGGAGGAGCAATACATCATTTTGCCGGGATGTCTCTGAGGATGCGTGGGGAAGCGAGAGCTATTTGTCACAGATAAATTTGATGGAGGAAGGTCTTATATAAAAGGGACCAGGCGGGGACTCTGGAGGTCCACGTTCCCTTCTTGGTAGGGCAACACTGTCTCCCCAGGTGAGCTCACTTTCCCCTCCTGCAGCCCCGTTTCCTTGCTGTAAAATGTGGTATCATCGTCTTTCCTGACATAGGAAAAGACCCTGCCTATTTAGATCAGGTCGCTCCAAACTCTTCATCCCTGAGAGCTCGGTTTTGGGGTCTTCTCCAAGCCAAAACTCCCCATGAGCAGCAGTTCCCCACGATGCTGAGGTCCCCGAGACCCCCATGGGCTGAACGCAGCTTCGGAGCGGCCATCGCGACCTCGCAGCCATCAGTCTGGCTCCTTCATTCACCTCTCAGGAAGGCTTTTACGTCCTTTTAGAAGTTGCTTGCAAACTCCCTTAGGAACTGGGTCGGTTTGTTCACCCGCCTGCGTGAAACCCATCAGCTACAAGCGCTCTGCTGAGCTCCCACCAGCAAATTAACAGAAGGAAACATTTATTTAAAGGCTGTCAGCCCCAAAACGAGCCTCGTGCTCCCGCAGAGCCATGCAGATCTCCCTGGGGAGCACCTCCACGACTCCTCCCGTGTCCCTTCCCTGCTTCCCGCGTGCACAGCTCTGTCCCGAGCACAGTTGGCAGCGGCTTGGCTCGGGATCGCTGCCCGGGGACGGCACCGGCATGCACGGAGCCAAGCCAAGAATTAGGAGATCAAAATCACCTAAGTGAGTTTTATGAGTACTTTTAAATTATTTGCATTCTTCTTTGGAAACTTTTTTTAATTTAATCCAGAAAACATTCCCCTTCTAAAAAGAGGTGCTGTGAATGATGGAATATCTGACCTTACGGTGTATTATTAATGCAGATGGTATTTCTGGAGTTATTGACTTCTGAACGGCATTTCTGTGTCTAGACACTGGTTTAATCACAGTGAAATAACACCCTGGCATGATTCCACAATGAATCAGGCCTTTGATTAGTATTAAGGATATTAAAGGCTTTTATTAACCTTATCTTTGCATTCTGGGGTACTCCTGCTTGCAGCTGCCAAAACACAGAATCTATTATGTTTGCGAAAGCAACTTTTCCATTTATTCATCATGCGATAGGTGCGGGACAACAGCAGTGCCAAATACGTGATTTTTTAGAGTGAGCAATCACTTTGATCTAACCAGAGCGAAGTCTCCCCTGCAAAGAAGTCATCCTACCACATCACAGGCCCTTAAAGCCCCGCTGCTGCCTGCAGGAGAAGACTACGTTAAACCCTTGAAGGCGAGTGAGGTTTTCCTCCATTCTGGCTCGCCGTAATTGTCGTGTTCCCATATTTATCCCCTCTGATACATCCCTGTAAAGGCAGTGTTATGTTCAGCCTGCAAAACAGTTGGTCCCGTATGGGAGGCTGCGAGCCTGGCAAAATTCAGATGCAGACGTGGGCTTGCAAGAACGTGCATCCACGGGAGCCGCACCAATTTAGCCAGGTTGGTCAGAGAGGGGAGATGTCCCAGCGTGAGCCTCTGCCCCCGGGCGACCTGGCACTGCTGTGGCTGGGATTTGGCTGCTTAAGTGTCGGCACCGAGTGATGTTTCGGCTGCCTGAGAGCCTCTAGCTGCAGAGGATACAAAACTGGTCTGCTGCAACAGGCATTTCTGTTCTAAACTCTGAGATGGGCCCTGCAAATATTAACCCGTATCTATTAAAGCTGGAGCTGCCTGAAGACTGGGTCTCCTTTACCTCTCTTTGAATTCCAGAAACACTTTTGCCAGGCTGCTTCCTCCAGACATCATAGAGACGTCGATGGCTCTCAGGAAATTGAAGTGCACTTTAATTAGGTCCTAAAACGAAGAAACAATCAATACTTTAAACACATCCAGAGTGAGTGGGCAAACAGAGCCTAAAGAAATGCACATTCACTACTTAATCAGGCAGTCATTTTCTCTTCTTTTTTTTTTTTTCCCTCTTTTTAGCTGTTTTTAAAATAAGTCATTCTAGTGAGATGCAGCCCTACATGGCCAGGAGTGCAAAGGTGTAATTCTGTTGGGAGGTTATACAGCGATAAATGCACCAGGATTTCCATGTGTATTAAAGTCCCTTGTGCAGGTCTGGAGGGAGCGGAGGAGATGGGCAGGCTCCGACCCAGACCCTGTGCAAGCCAGCGTAGAAATAAATCCCTTCATCACGGTGTGCCCAAACCATCTCTAAGTACAGCTAAAATACACAGCCCCAGCCCTGGAACATCCTCCGTATAAAACTGGTTTCTTACCTAGAGTTCATATAATCCCCAACTCTAAAATTGAGTGTTAAAGAATATCTCCTAAACCCGTTCAAGCTCCACAGCACATGAAGGACTGAACCTCTACAGGTGAATGCACAAATCTAACGTGAAATCCGAGTCTTAAGTAGGAGGGTGGCTGAGCTGCCGTGAAAAGAACAAAGATTTAAGCCACAACGTCTTCGCCGTTACCTCCAAATTGATAAAGATAGCTTCCATGTCTTGGGGAGTCAGTACCAGCCTCAGCGGATTCATATAGTTCTGCAAGAGGTAAATGGAAAAAGGATTGAAATACCAGACAGGAGTGAGCAAGGGTTTTTTTATGCAAGGGAGGTATTTTTCCCTGCTTCACCAGTTGCATTTACCTGGGCAGGGAGAAGCCAGGTTTTAATGAATTTAAGCACTTGCAAAGGCAGATGAATGACAACACAATTCTCAAGACCAGGCTGTGCCAGGGACCCAAGTGGGAGCCAGGAACCCCCGTGGGTGCATCTTCCCCCGAGCTCCCCTTGGTCCCCGCGGCATTTCCAGGCGTGGGAAGGTCCAAGACCCCCAGCCGTGGGTGGGCGCAGACCCCTCTCCTGCTAAATCTACAGGGAGAGGGGTTTAAATGCACACAGTTTCTTCACCTCGCTGCAGTTGGGAAGAGCTCTGAAGCGTCTTTTCAGCTCTTTGACTACCTCACTAGAATTTTGCCCTTGAAAAAGCACCGATGATGTGATTACAGTGGAAATGCCTTTCTGAACAAATACATATTAATAGAAACGTCTACATGACTTGTAACTACAAAAAAAGCCCTGATGCAATGCACCAAAGACAGGACCCTCTACCCATAACGTGCCGTCAGAGCCTGCTGAGCCTTCGCAAGCCTTTTTAATGGATATCAAAGCAGTAATTTAACTCTTCCTTTAGACTGAACCAGAAGGGCTGTGGCTGTTTCCAAGGAACGAGGGCTATCTACATAAATGACATGTATGTTGGGACATCTTCATGGAAAATGGGAAACGTTATTCCACCATGCTGGTTTTGCTCACAGCTTCTTTGTGGGAACTTTCAGCAGACAGAGGCAAATAATTGCAAAAGGGGAGGAAACAAAAGCGTTAGGGTGATTAGAAATGGCAGCTTAAATT